TAGCTTTATCCGCGGCTTCGCTCGCATTCAATTCATTACTGCTAGATGGATGGCGCTGAAGTAGCAAAAAGTTGACATTTTGGTTTTATATGATTTATAAAAATATTTGTTTTTTTTTAATAAAAAGTCCTATCCTATGTGCATCCTAATACCTCCAAGAACATGTGTACAAAATTTCATGATGATCGGTTCAGTAGTTTTTGCGTGAAAAAGTAACAAACATACCTACTTTCACATTTATAATATTAGTAAAGGATATGTAATATATATATATATATATACATGACAAACGAACACACAAAACTAGCTTCTTTATAATATTAGTATAGATTACAAGTATATTGATCTATAATCATCAGATGATCAGAAATGAGTAATTTGAAATATATTTATCAAAAACCAAATTACAGGGATGCACACAGTGGAGTCAAATGGGTTATTACAAAACGCAACAACACGCCACACGCACTTATTGTAACACCCCTGTAATTACCTAGATGGACACACATTGTTTTATATACAGGCTGATACAAAAAGGGAGCAGTGAAAGAAAGAAAGAAAAATACATTCATTTGGCACATTTAGGGCACTGCAGCATAGTGGTGTTTTACTCCAACTTAGATACGAATGTCCTTAGTTCAAATATAATAATAAAAATATCCTTACAATACACATTTTTTATTTCTAAGGTGTCAAATAAGCATACGGCCCATCCGATAGTAAATAGTCATCTCCTCTTTCAACCCTTTACTACCCTTTTTCACCTCAAGAAGTAGCCTATGTCCTATCTCAAGATCAAGACTATCTGTGTACCAAATTTCATTTATATCGGTTCTGTAGTTTTGGCGTGAAAGTGATACAAACAGACAGACCGACAGACAGAGTTACTTTCGTATTTATAATATTAGAAAGGATAGGAAGGATTAGAAAACATAAACTTTGTAGTCACCACGCTCACAACGGCAATCTGCCATGGTAATGACAGTACTTCCTTCATGAAGGTAGAGACAGCATGTTAATCTATAAGATATTTATAATATTATGAGCTATATAAATATTAGTAGCCTGAAATAAATAAATAAATGCATGGCGGCTAAAGCAATAGCGGATCCAGCTTTGGCGTCAGGAGGGGGTCACATAGTCGTGCTCATGGCGCCAGGAGGGGGTCACATAGTCGTGGTCAAGGCGTCAGGAGGGGGTCACATAGTCGTGGTCATGGCTTCAGGAGGGGGTCACATAGTCGTGGTCATGGCGTCAGGAGGGGGTCACATAGGCGTGGTCATGGCGCCAGGAGGGGGTCACATAGTCGTGGTCATGGCGTCAGGAGGGGGTCACATAGTCGTGGTCATGGCGCCAGGAGGGGTCACATAGTCGTGGTCATGGCGTCAGGAGGGGGTCACATAGTCGTGGTCTTGGCGTCAGGAGGGGGTCACATAGTCGTGGTCATGGCGCCAGGAGGGGGTCACATAGTCGTGGTGAAGTCAAGAACTCATAATTTAATTTTGATAACAATAGATACAAGTAAAAAGTAGGTATTTGAATAACGTACAAAGTTATTATATTATATTAACTTAGTTAAATATTGAAGGTATGTTTGTTACACAAAATCTTTATGGTGTCAATATATATAAATAAAATCATTATGTTCAATTAGTGGCCCACCTAAATCCTGGAACCAGCTCAGGGTGGTCATGACCCCATGACCCCCCTGGATCCGCCGTTGGCTAAAGCCAAGTCTGAAGTTAACGTCAAGTATACAGCCCAAAATGTGTGTAACTGAAGTGCAAAAGTCGGTATAAACGTTCAAATATTGACGCATTTCAAGATCCGCGACAGAATCCCAAACACTACATCATCTGTGCAAACACTGGCTGGTAACGCGATATTCCTCGACATATCGCATGTCATACGCAGCGACAACAAACAGAACACCCTGTGTGATCTGCTCGTAATAGTCGATGCGCGATACACACGAGCCGGTACGATGGCGAATAAAGCACAGAGAAATTAACACTTTTTCGTAACCCGAACAGACCAGTCTCTACAAGCAGCACCCGTTCACGAGTATGACGGATCAGATGCTGCTTGTGGAGGAAGATGTAACAAAGGTCCGTACTTACAAACTTTCGCATTTATAATATTACTAGCTACTCGCCCCGGCTGCGCCCGGGTGACCTACCTCTTGAATCACTCTATCTATTAAATAAACCGCTTCAAAATCCGTTGCGTAGTTTTAAAGATTTAGGCATACATAGGGACTGACAGACAGCGACAGCGACTTTTATACTATGTAATGATACGATAATGATACTTCAATTCAGTCTTGTCAATAGTTTCCTAATATATCTTCCTAATAGTCTCCGGACACTAAGTCTTTTTCTATAGTTTTCCTTTCACCAATACACATACTAATCATTACATAGTACAAAACAAAGTCGCTGTCGCTGTCTGTCCCTATGTATGCTTAAATGTTTAAAACTTCGCAACGGATATTAAAGTATTTTTTTTTAATAGATAGATTGATTCAAGAGGAAGGTTTATATGTATAGTACATGTACACCCGGGCGAAGCCAGGGCGAGTAGCTAGCATACTATACAAGAATGTTACTATAAAAGAACTATAAATTTAGAATAAAAAATAAATTTCTGATTAGCCAGATATAACAAATGAGGTTAGGATTATTATGTAGTTGTATGAAATGCACGACCGTATTGCACCCGGGAGGGATGACACCTGGCGATGACGTCACTGCCCACCCCAGGCGCGGCCGCGCGCCGCAATTATATCGAGATTAACTTCTGGTGCCAACTAGGTGTGGTCATGCTCGATGAAAGGGCACCGACCAGTATTGACTTTTTAGTCAGTGGATGCTTTATTCCTTTATTTTTATACTAGTGTCCCGTCCCGACATTGCGCGGATGAATTACAAATCTTTAAATTTCTCGGCTTGTTCTATATTATAATACGCATGTATTATATATATAAACCTTTCTCTTGAATCACTCTAGACTACTAGTTTTAACTAAGTGCCGTTTGACGAAAGTTAGTAATTCGTTTTATGGAAATTGCGTCAGATTTTACAACAAACTGCCAGAGTCTTTACTCAATTTGCCAGAAAAAAGATTCTAATGTCTTATAAAATACTTCCTTTGTAAAATAATAATAATGTTTTTGTAGAATATCTAACTTAAAATTCATAGCGCTGACAATGTTATCTGATTGAACGGAGATTAAGTCCGTAGCGGTTTCTATGTTGATTGTCGCACGCCTAATCCTTTTTAATGTAAATTTACTTAGAACAATATTCATTTAAAATAGCATCACAAGTTTCTTGCTCATTCTTCTTGTGATGAATCTGCGTTCCGAATAAGTGGTAGAATCAAAATATGACTATTCAAAAGTGCTTGTAATGAGTTTATTTACTAATAAACTCAATACAAGCATTTTTGAATAATCATATTTTAATACAGTTATTTCTATTTCTTCTTTTCTGTGAAGGTAAGTGATAACGTACATATTAGTAACTAACTAGTAAATAAATAAATAAAATAAGACTAACGTTATTGATCTTAATATAATCCTTACTTTAATATTATAAATGCAGAAGTAACTGTGTCTGTCTGTCAGACTTACACGCCAAAACTACTGAAGCGATTTAAATGAAATTTAAACACACTGTTAAAGAGGAACCTGATAAAGCACATATGATATTTTTTTATAGATAATCTAGAACCTGAGAAAAGATAGGGAACATTTTAATACGAAAAAGGGTTGTAAGGGGCGCGTCAGACAGACGGATAGACAGGTTGTTTCGCATTTATATTATTAGTAAGTCTTACTTCCGATGGTCGCGGATTCGATTCCTCGCACGGCACAAACATTTGTATTCATGAGTATCATTGTTTATATCGGTCTGGGTGTTTTCTATGTATGTTATATATGTATTAGGAATAAAAATCTACGCGTTTGTATCAGTTATATAGTACCCATAACACAAGCTTAAGCTAGCTTAAGTTGGGTCCAGATGGTGCTGTATGAACTGTTCTGAAATTATTATTAATTTCCTAAACAATCCATTAATAAAAAAAGCAAGATTTTCATAAACTAATTGAAAAACATTTCAAAACGCATTGTAAGCCCATATTGGTTACATCAACGGTAAGCTACGAGTTTCTCGTTTCGATCTACGTCTGTCTGCTTCGGGCGTTGCACACTAAAATAAACTATATTATATGATATGCGTGTCTGTACGTCAGTACTGAAAGCTTTTAGCGTTCTCGTGATGACGGCGTCATGCAACATGGAGCATTTCTATGAAACCAATTTCACATGATATATTTATGTTTATCACCTTGGACATTGAAAAATCTTATTTCTCGCAAAGGGACTCGCATCATTTTATTGTTAACTAGCTGTCCAGGCAAACGTTGTTTTGCCTAAAATAAAAAAAAAATTAGGGGTGGACTACCCCTAACATTTAGGAGGATGAAAAATAGATGTTGGCCGATTCTCAATACGCTCACAAAATTTCATGAGAATCGGTCAAGCCGTTTCGGAGGAGTATGGGAACGAAAACTGTGACACGAGAATTTTATATATAAGATTATTAAGTATTTTTAATATGTGTTTAGTGTACAATAATTTGAGGTAGATATTATTTAACCCATAGATTTATTTCAATCAAAGTGCCCACGGGTGATCACTCAGTCCCAACGTGTAAATTTACTTTCGTTGCGGAGTGACCACATCTCCACGGGTGGGAGATGTGGCCCTTATCGTGTTAAATTAAAAACGTTTTTCTTTTTAAATTTATAAGGGGGACGGGATTGTTAGTAATGGGGTATAGTAATCCCATTTCTAAAAATGTACTATGTTAGGTCGACCTCCACGCGGTCCCCTCTGGAAACCATCGTGGTTAATTCCTGGTGAATTCGTCACTATGTGCTAACTGATCTAACTTATACTATCATACTTCACTGGTGCCCCGCCAGTGATGCCGTTAGTCAATATATTCCCTCAAAATATGTTGACCTCTTTTCCAGCCCTCGACCAAATTGGATTTTGTGATCGTAGCTGATTCTAAGAACTCCTTATCTGAAGTTACAAGTATAGAAGGACCACCTGTTCGTAGGAAATCTGCAGGTGTTAAAACGTGCTCTAATTCTTCACCGACTACAGTAAGTGGCCGTGAATTTACAACCGCCTCAATTTCCTTAATAATCGTACCTAACTGAGAATGATTTAACATATGTTTGTCGACTGTTTTCTTTAAGCAGTTCTTGACAATACCGATCAATCTTTCGTAAAATCCGCCGAACCAGGGCGCGAGTTCCGGAATAAATCTCCACTTTATTCGATTCGTTACACAGTAATCCCCAGTGAGGACATCGGCTGCAAGTTTGAATTGCAGAGCGTTATCTGAGATGATTAATTTGGGGACGCCTCTAGAGGAAACAAACCTCCTTAATCCTAACAAACACTCCTCTGCAGTCAAATCTTTTACGAGCTCCATATGTATAGCTCTCACAGCTAAACAGGTGTATAAGGAAATCCAACGTTTCTCCAAACAACCATTCTTATCCACCAACACGGGCCCAAAATAATCAAGACCTACGTAAGAGAATGGTTCACTATAAGTGACTCTTTCGGGTGGTAATGGGGCCATGGGTGGCAATCTATAAGGACCTCCTGAGTATTTCTTACATGCTGGACACTGTCTGAGAAGTTTTTGTACTTGCATTCTACCTCTGGGTATCCAGTACTGTTTTCTAATAATAGCAAGAGTATGAGACACTCCTACGTGATAATTTCTCCGGTGTGCATCCTCGATTATCTTTGATGTGAAAGCGTGATCTTTAGGTAATAATATCGGGTGTTTCTGGCTATGCGACCAATCTGTATTCTGTAGTCTCCCACGACATCTGAGTATACCGTCCTCGTCTTTGTACACGTCAAGAGCTCTCACAAGATCTGTCTTCATACCCGTAAGTTCCTTCGAGAAACATTCCTTCTGAACTTGTCGGATCTGATCAATGTGATTATTTGAAATATTTGTCAAACTATAATCTGATGTTAAATGGTTTTTATCGACTTCCATTGATTCAATGACCGCAGTACGCTGAACTGTCTGTGGAATGTTTTCATTTATTTGAGAGTGAGTTTCTATTTGTTGTTCGGAGCTATCTATTGTATATTCTTGTGGCTCTGTTTCCGAAGGATCCTCCCGGCCCGCGACAACTTGAATGTGTGTATCTAACTCGTTGTCTTTTTGTGTATTTCTCGGCCAGTACATTGGATCGCTGTATAAAAAATCTGGACCTATCAACCAACGTTGAGCACTTTCAGCAGAAATATTGGGTCGTGTTGCTACATCGGCGGGATTCATATGTGAAGGTACGTACCGAATATGTGGATTGCAATTTAATTTAATTTCGTCAACGCGTTTCGCCACAAATGGCAGCAAAAGTTTTTCTGAGTTACACCAATTTACGACTATCTGACTATCTGACCACAGGTAAGTTTTAGAGATTGGAAGTCTTGAGTGTTTAAGAACAGTTTTGATGAGCCGGCTTCCGATTAAAGCCCCCAATAATTCCAACTTCGGTATATGAAGGTTAGTCTGATCCTTTTTGCTTATTAAACGTGATTTCCCTATTATGAAGGAAATTTCGCTTTTATTCTGGTGAGTGCTACGTAAGTACACGGCAGCCGCGTAAGTTTGTAGCGATGCGTCTGCGAATGCGTGAAGTTCGTGCTTTATGGAGGTATTAAAATCTTCCTTTCCGATTGCGAAACGAGGAACACTAATGTATCTAATTAGTTTCAAGCCTGCCGGCAGGCCGTTTGCCATTCTACGAGAGCTTCTTCAGCTAACTCAGTGTCCCAGTCATATTTTTGACTCCAGAGATTTTGTAGATACAACTTCATAGGTAAAACAATCGGTGTTACAAAACCACATGGATCAAATATGGAAGCTACTAGTCCCAAGATTTCTCGTTTTGTCCTAATTTGGTTTACTTTATCTTGATCTAACCGAAAATTCAGCTTCAGCATGTCGTTTAGAAGATCCCATTCTAGGCCTAGCACTTTCATACGTTCTGTTGTCTTAGATCGAAATTGTAAGGGAATAGTCTCATTGAACTGCTCTGAATTGGAATTCCACTCACGAATATTCATAGAAAGATCGTCAAATGCCCTTTTGACACCATTATACAACTTCTCAGCATTTTCCACTGAATCTGTGCCAGTAACTAAATTGTCAACGTAAATATTTTCCGCGACTTGCTTGAAGACTGCACTGTCACTCCTTTTCAAATGGTGTCGTATGGTGGCATTTAAAAGGAAAGGGCTTGATATCACTCCAAAAGGCACTCTACAGAATCTATAATGTTGAATATTCTGAGGAGATAGATCCCTTCCTGCAGATTTTGTCCATAAAAATCGTGTTACATCTCGGTCTTCGTTCTGTAAACCGACCTGTAAAAATGCCTTTTCGACATCTGCGACAATGCCTATTCGATGTTCCCTAAAGCGAATCAAAAGACCTGTAAGATCCTCTAGCATGAGTGGTCCTCGATATAGGCATTCATTCAGACTTTTATTGCCCTTTGTCTTGGAAGATGCGTCGTACACCAAACGTAACTTTTCATTTTGTTCTACACAATGATGTGGCAAGTAATGCACGGGATGCTCGACAGGTACAGATGGATCTGGCACTATCTCTATAATGCCCCTTTCCAATTGATCCTGAATAATATCGTTGTATCTTTGGATTGTATCGTCATCAAGTCTTTTCAACAAACTCGTTAATCTACCACGAGCCAACCCATAATTTGATGGTAAAAGCGGAGGGTATGCGACCCACGGCCATTTCACATAATATCGATTATTTAAATATTGCGTCGTCTCATTAAATTGCCGAACAGCTTCATCTTCACGGGAGACCTTCGGAGAGTCCATAATTCCGATTGACTCTAAATCCCATAATCTTTTCATATCGTCACTCTTTAAAGGAAGATCAGGGACGTAGAAACTGTTAAATTCAATACCAGACTGAAAATAAGTTAATACTGATAGCTTATCTGGGAGGTGTCTTTCCGAAGTAGAATAACGGCCAGAAAAAATCCATCCGAAAGCTGAATTGATCAAGTAAAGATCTTGGGTTACTTTTCTCTTTTCGCCATCAATAAATGTGAAATAATAGTCGTTACCTATTAATAAATCTATATTGTCACCCAGAGAGTTATCATCAGCTAATATAGTGTTCGATGGGACAACGCTCCCAAGAACACTCTCAGCCATTTCTCGAGGCAATGTGGATACACTATTAGTTATATGAGGAACAACGTTGGCATAAAGTATTTTGTATACGTTTGTTCTAGTGATAATTCTAAATATTACTACTGGACTATCAATTTCAGTTGGACGGTCGGCGCCAAAGGTAAAAACGGAAAGATTATTTTTCTCTAATTCAGGTAAGTTTAATCTCTTTGCAAGCTCCTTTGTTATGTACGTGCGCTGACTACCAGAATCGAGAATTACTCTACAAGGCGCAATGACGGATTCCTTTTCTACATTCTGAACCTGAGCAACGGCAGTTTGCAGGAAGGTAAGTCCCTTTATGTTATTAGAACCACCAACGTGTAGATTTTCTGTTCTGACAGGATTCCGAGAGGGACAGAGAGCTCTGTTATGTTCACCATATTTACTACAATGCCAACACTTCTTATGCGACTTACATTCCTTTGAGATATGACCCTTTGATAGACAATTATAGCAACGGCCTTCTAACTTTCGTTTTCTCTCTTCAACAGTCTTCACTACATCACATTCATCGTTGAAGTGACCATTACCGCAGAATATACACGATGGTTTCCTCCGTTTGGTATCAAAGCCTCGGTAATTATTATCATCTCTGAGGTGGTTTCTCTTTCGACCATTGTTTAACTTTGTCTTAAGGTATCCGGTTACATATTCTTTTTTATCAGGGTCACGCCTAACTCCTCCTCTGCCGTAACTCCTACCCTTATCTTTTTCTTTTAGTGGGAACTTCTTAAACGTTGACTGCGCCCTTCGGTGATTTTCTGTTCGAACATGTAGGGATTCTAGTGTAAATTTCCCAGCGTCCTCTTTACTAGTGGATCCTTCTGTCGAAAATGTTTCTTCTTTCATCCTACTTGACGCTTCTCGTGCGGATATAATATGTTCCAAATGACGTCTAATATTCTCTATGGAATCTGTTTCGGTTCCCATTTTCATTCGAAGTTCATAAATTAAATCCTCTGAAAATTTTTGCATGATCATCACTCTGAGATGGTTATGGCTAACGTCTTCACCTAAAGAACTCAGTACCCTAAGATGTCTCTCAATTTCATTTAAGACCCGTCGACAATCTGCAACCGATTTATCTGCCGTCCTTATTCTATACAACGCTGCATAATGAGCATCAATTATTGTTCCAGGTTTTCCATACCTTTCTTTAAGGGTAGATACCGCTATCTGATAATTTTTATTTGTCATGTCTAAACCTTCAATTGCTCTTTTCGCTTCACCTTCAAGTACCGATTGTAGATACAACAGTTTGTCTACCTCACTAATGTTTCTACTGTCTACATTCGATGAGAATTGGTCCCAGAAAGGATGCCATTTTAAAACGTCTCCATTGAACTTGGCTAGTTCCATTTTTGGCAACTTACTGGCAACATTGAGTTTCTCTACAGTATTAAATGTCGAAAATGGTTCGCTGTTCGCCTTTTTATTCACCCTATGATTGAGCTCTGTTACCAATTCTTCCCCTTTTATCTGAATATCCGTATATTTTGCTAAATCATCAGGCGATGTTACCTCTACCAACTTATAATAATTATACGTTTCAGCAACGAAGCGGTCTATGGCAGATTTCAATTTTGTTGAAACAATTTTAGCTTCATCTAAGTCAATGCCGTCTGATTTTAATTTAATTAACATGTCCTGACCAGTATCTATAAGAGATTCGACGTTCGCTAAGAATAGATTCATTCTAGTTTTAATCAACTCCTCCATCACTACAAAAATAAAGGACCAGCTCGCTTCACTCAAATAAACCAACTATTCGCACAGGCTACTGAACACCCCTTTAACGTAGCTGATTGTACAACTGTGGGTCCCAACTGTAACAACGAGTTAGGATATCTGAGACATCTAAAGTAGGTATATGTGCTTATGTAAACTGAATTCACTGTGAAACGATAATGAGCCAAGAAACAATTTGTATCATTGATTTAGAGATCGCTGCCATACTTCAAACATGTGTAGATGTAGTAAAACAATTAATTAAAATAACATAATGTTTATAGCGATTTACATATTGTTGTAAACATTATCCATGCTTAACAATTCGAATATACAAATTTTAATTGTTTACTAATATAAATTGTAATTTTTAAAACCACTGGTCCATTTTTCTTTCTCTTAATTTATTCGCCAACAAAAATAACACTATTCTTATATGATATAATAAATTCCATGAAAAAATTTTTCGAAAAAGTTTGTATATAAAATAAATATAGAATACAATTGTTCACAGTGCCTATTATTTCATTATAAATTTTTGTAGGTAATGTATTTGTTCGAAATAAAATTGTCTGTGGTCCGTGATTACAATAGCCGCTGTCAGAAACGGTTCGATATTCACTCGTGTAATTTTTGATAAACACAAGTAAGTATCTAGATCGAATCAAAAAATAATATGAGGATCCTGTGTACATTACTACGACAAATTACTACGATAAATAATACCCTAAACACAAAACTACAATTTATGCTTTCCAAAAGATAAGAGGGTAGGTATAATATTTTCATATACGTGTGTCCACATCGATCCCAGCACCTCCACCATGTCGTTAAAGTCGTAACTCGCTACGCAATAACGATGAAACACTGTATGAACTAATTATATATATATATCACACACACATGCATGCACCAACACTATATGTGTGAGCATACACACACGATTACACATATATATATGCATATACCAACTTATATAACAGAATGGAGATCTGAGCTGAGATTCATTTATGAAACTGAGTTGGATGCGAATCCAATGCAACCTAAATGGTTTATAACACTGAGCCGTGTGACGAGTAACTGAGAGTGCACACCATATGTACGTTTGATACTGAGGAGGCTGAGTCCCTTGGTTATGTCCAACGGGATGCAGTACATTGTTATAGTAAATTATTAAACTACGTGCACCAATGAGTAACATACGGAGCTGAGTTCGATCTGAGTATTCTGAGCAGTCGCCTCCAACCACCCCTTACAGCGACCCCTGTCCTCACAACTGAGTAACAAGCATGACACTGAGCACAATCCTGAGGTCTTAAACACCTTAGACACGGTTCAAGTTGCTTAACAGGCAACTACTGGGATCGAAGTATAGACACAACACTGAGACACACAATTTCGTCATAATTATTATAAATAACACTAAAGATTCAACAATAAACAAGTTTACGTTGTATTATAATAGTTACAAAGCACTTACCGCAATATTTTCGGGAACAAACTCGTAGAACAGCCAACCTCTTCGCTCCATTTAACAGAATGAATGAAAATGTGTTACCCTCAACTATTTTTAATAACCATCAAACGTTAGTGTATTGTACTTTCTTTCTACCGTCATAATTTAATGCACATCTTACACGAATAGATATCATATACAGACAAATATCGCGATGATTCGCGACACCGTTAGCGCAGGTGGGTGCACCATTCCATTATAATCCATTAAAAAATGTATTTATAAATGCCGGCGTTCTAAGGTACTAACCGAACATTATAGTTATGACATACTAGCTGTACTCGCGACTTCGTCCGCGTTTAATTTAATTTTATTTTTCTAAAATAAAAGTAGCCTAAGTTACTCATTATTACATCAGGTAGGTACCTGCCAAAAAAGTCTGGTCAAAATCGGTCTAGCTATTTCAGAGACTAGCCGGAAGAAATAAACAGACAGACAGACAAAAGTTAAAAAAATCTTATTTTGTTGTATGTACCGTATTTATATTCATATGGATGTAGTAAAAACGGTTATTTCAATATACAACAAAGAGACATTCCAATTTTATTTATATGTATACATGTATAGATAATAACAAACCAATTTAAAAATAAACCTTAATAAATTAAAAAATGTAACAAGATATGTAGGTACATAGATATATATGTATGTTGTTCATTGTTGTATAAACCGTTCCATGGAACAAGGCGCGTCACGGCGCGCGAGCCCGCTCTCAAACAAAAATCTATGGAGACGTAAAGTAAAAAATTAAGAACGATCGTCTGTCAAGAGTCTACTTCCGATGTTTACATTCAAATTTCCATTTGTAGGTAAGCATGTTGTGGCAGCAGTAGGTAATTCTCTTGATAGGTAAGCATCTTCGCATATAACACTAAATAACAATTATATTTATATATTTTTTTTTATTTTATTTTGAAAACCAACAGCGAAATACAAATAATAACAAATAATATGTACTTAAATATAAGGCCAATTAAAGGATTTCTCACAATTATAAGATTAATATGTTTTAATAACTGTATGGTTTTATTTATTGTGCGGTAAAAATATTGTGGAATAATGTATCTATTATTATTGAAGATGTTTCTATTGATATTAATATTTATAAATTTATTATGACAATGCATCCGCCGCAATTTCTCACTAGCAGTGATGTTAAACACATATTTAATAACATTATTACCATAGCTGTACGGTACGTCACTATGTTCATATAACGCCCACATATACGTATATGTATATATGCATATAATATATTTATATTTATATATTCTTATTTAAGTATGTATGTAGTTGGATATATATATTTCAATTTATGAATTTTATTATAATTGTACCTTTCTCCTTTTATTATTTATTTCATGTTATTATTTACTTAAATGCACCGCCCACTAATCTCTGTTTGCCCTATGGTCGACTGGGAGAAAATGCCTTATGGTGTTAAGTCCGCCATATGCACCTTTATTTTGTTTTATATTTGTGCATGAAGTTTTTATAAATAAAATAAATAAAAATATACAATTTCCCTTCAGTACACCAAATACTCACAAACAAGCATCAGTCCAAACTCTATCATCGTGTACTCAATAAATCAAGTTGGAAAGCAGCCCGGACTTATTGTTTATACATTATAGCATCCAGATTATGTGGGTCACAGCAGACCTATACAATAGCCTTTATTTAATTCAACTTATCGTAAAATACTGCTTTAAAACAAACAATATATATTTTTTTAATATCTTATTCTAATAATTGCTTATTTTATAATCTTGTTCATTTTCTGTAGATCTGTTTACCAATCAATAACGGCCCGTTCCAAATCTTTGCAAGTTTTCTCTGTCTTCAGTTACTCTGTCCCACATTACACCTGTCACTTCCCTGATAATTTAATAACATATTCAGTGAAAATTTCACCCCAATTTCTCTAGTCATTTTTTGGAAAACTAAATTCATAAACAGCCTGTTTTCATTTCGTCACTATTTTACGATTTCATTATAAATATATAATATTAATAATTCTATGTAATAATAATAATCTAAGGGCAATTCACACAGCGCCATCTAGACCTATGTATGTTACGCTAAAGCTTATGTTATGGGTACTAAATAACTGATACAAATACATAGATATATATTTTTTTTCGTAAATACATAGAAAATATGTAATGAAATTAAATATATTTCAATATAGCTCCACATATTTCTGTATTCTCCATTAGAGTTGGATTGACACGGTGTTTTTTAGCGAGCTCCATATATCGCCGGTTTGGCCATTACCTCTCACTGTACTGCTACACAGACCTCCACAACTCAAGAAAGGGCATTCTTATCAGACAGAACCGAACCTACTGTAATTGTTTATGCGCCTAACTGAAATGGCAAACACGCTGACGGAAAACTGATGGAGTTATTCAGTGGATGTATATAGCATGCAAATATAATTTATTCTCGTATTGATCATAGTTACACGTTACATATAAGTGTTACTTAGCAATAGGAGTACTTATTTTAAACTAGCTGTTCCCGTGACTTCGTCCGCGTGGAAATTAACTTTATTTTTCTAAAAAAAAGCCTAAGTTACTCCTTTTTACATCAGCTACCTGCCAAAAAAGACCCGGCAAAATCGGTCCAGCCATTTCAGAGATTAGTCGGAACAATCAGACAGACAGACAAAAATTGTAAAAAATGTTATTTTGGTGTATTTATATTCATATGCATGTAGTGAAAAACGGTTCTTTCAATATTACAATTTTATTTGTTATGGCAATAATTATCATTAGCTAATACTTATGGGCACAGTCTGGGTGCGATGCCCAGTCGCTGCAGCCAAAGCCCTGATCGAGGCAGGTCGGGTGAAGGTAGGTTGGACGATGGCTCGGGTGCAATCACTCGACCCGAGACCCATGCGGTGCTACCGGTGTTTGCTCACGGGTCACGTGGGCCGACGGTGCACTGCGGGGGAAGACTGCAGCGATAAATGCTATCACTGTGGTCAGGGTAGCCACAAGGCCGCGAGGTGTGCCGAGCCATCGCCAAAGTGCTGGTACTGCGCTGCGGCTAACCGCAACTCGGACCATAGAGTCGGCAGCACTAAACAGTGCCGCCAAAGGCCAGAGCCGCAGCCGCGGCGCAGGTTACCGACCGGGGGGGGGGATTCGATGGACACCTGAGTCTGATCAGTGTGGGCATCTATACTTGACCCTAGGGTGGAGGTTTGTTAGGGCAATCCGAAGCTCACCGGGGAGGCATTAGGGTCTGGGAGGTGGCGTGCAGAGACTGTTCCCTGCACGCCTATATGGAAGGTCCCTCCGATGGGAACCATGCCGGTGGTCTTGGAGAATGCCTTGTGCGATCCCATGGCCACGGCGATTATGTCGAGGAGGAACAGTCATCAGGTTTTTAGCAGGTAGGAGTTCTCCATGATGGATTTTTCTGACGTAAAAAAAAAGGGGTCTATAACATGCTGCAAGGGATCTACGACAGCGGTCATCTTTATGTTTTTAACACTAAACTTTACTACAGTTAGAAATTTACAAAAAAAACAATGCCTGGTAAGAATGGGGGATCTACCCAAAACAAAAAAATATGGCAAGGAGTCTACGACACAAAAAAGTTTGGGAACCTCTGGTCTAGATCATTCCATTTCTTTAACTCTGGGTACAGAACAGTAGTCGGCAGGTTTCGAATCACGACCTGCGATACTGCATGTAGCGCAGTTGAGGTCAAAGATAACGGTTCGAAAGTAAATGGCTGAAACCGTACAGTATTTTCCTGTTATTGATTGATTGAAACAAACAGACAGACAAAACTTTCAAGTTTTTTTATGTAAGGTACTTACCGTATACACACAGGTACTTATTATTATATTTTCGAGACGAACAAACAAAAAAAAATAAGTTATGATTTTATAAAGTCCCGTAGTAGTACATTGGTATACTTTATTATGTATCTAGTGAAATTAAAATCACAAATATACACTTCAATTTTATTTATATGTATCGATAATGAACATACATAAATACATATATATTTATTTCCTTTATTTCAAATCATATCAAATCAGAAATCACTTATTCATGTAGGACATTTTAGCCGCTTATGAACGTCAAGTTTTTTATATTAATACTAGCTGTCCCGACAAACGTTGTTTTGCCTTAAAATAAAAATAAAAATTAGGGTTGGACTACCCCTAACATTTAGGGGGATGAAAAATAGATGTTGGCCGATTCTCAGATCTACTCAATACGCTCACAAAATTTCATGAGAATCGATCAAGCCGTTTCGGAGGAGTATGGGAACGAAAACTGTACATATGTATTTCCTAGTTCAAATTAGTAATCAATTATTTATGTAGGACATTTTAGCCGCTTATGAAGGACAAGTTTTTTATATTAATATTTTTTCCCTACCGTCCAGTTCAGACTAACAGATTCAAATGAGAAGAACTGGCAAGAAACTCAATTGATTTTTTTTAAAAACTAGTTTATTTACATATTTACTTATATAGGTGTGTAAATCTAACATTAAATTAAAATCCCGTGCATGAACAACTACTGCCATTTTCAAAGCATAAGTACACCTTACTTCTCACTTATAGATTAATGCTATATTAATTCTTCTCTAATTTTTATACATTATGTACTTACATAGTGACGGCCTCGGTGGTTTAGGGGTTAGCACACCGCTTTCCTTCTGATGGTCGCGGAGTCGATTCCTCGGACAGCAAAAATTTGTATTCATGAGTATGATTGTTTGCATCGGTCTGAGTATTTTCTAAATATAATATGTATGTATTTACGAAAAAAGTATTTATATATGTATCAGTTTCTAGTACCCATAACACAAGCTTTAGCTACGACGACGACCTTGGTGGTATAGCGGTCTAGCACACCGCTTTATATCCGATGGTCGCGGGTTCGATTCTTCACACGGCACAAACATTCGTATTCATATGTATGATTGTTTGCATCGGTCTGGGTATTTTCTATGTATAATATGTACAAAAAAATATCTATGTATTTGTATCAGTTATCTAGTACCCATAACACAAGCATCAGCTAGCTTAACTTGGGTCTAGATGGCGCTGTGTGAATTGTCCTGAGATTATTATTATTATAATCTCTCATTCTCTCAGCTTTTGCTGGTTTTTTATATAATTATTATTATTTAGCTAGCTTAACTTTAGCGCTGTGTGAATTGTCCTGAGATTATTATTATCATATAGTCTATGTTTGACATAAATAAAAATCCCGTGCATGAACAACTATTGCCATCTTTAAAACACTCCTTACTTCTAACTTGTTATATATAAACAACTGCCATATTAAAATCTCCACATAAATCATAGCAAACTGATGATGCATAGAATAATAAACGGTTAGATGCTCAGAAAACGCAACCCTCCTTTCAATATACTACCGGAAGCTATTTTCCATTCTGCCGCTCCGATCGATTATCCGCCATTACCGAACAATTGAAATATGAAACGTGACTGCAGAATTCATCAGCAAATGATGTGTACCTAATACTTTAATGTGAAGAGAAAATTTTATATTGTTGAAAAATCTTTGACCATTGTTGAAATTTTCCTTCGAATTATGTCATTCTTATTGTTAGCGTTCAAGTGAACAGCAGTTGTGGTTGAAAAATATATTATTTAATTGTATGAGGTGGTCCTTACAAGTTTCAACATGTGTATATACATGTATACAATATACTAAATTACTATATTGTATACATGTATATACAATATAGTAAAAATAAAAAATTGCCTTTAATTATATATAAGTATATACTATCTATTCGCCCCGGTTTCACCCGGGTATATAAACCTTCCTCATGAATCACTCTATCTATTAAAAAAACAGCTTCAAAATCCGTTGGGTAGTTTTAAACATTTAAGCATACATAGGAACAGACAGCGACTGTGACTTTGTTTTATACTTTGTAATGATATATGTAATTATATATGACCCGTCACACTCCATACAAGTATCATAACTCATGAACCACTTACGGGAGTGGTGTAAATTTGTCTCTTCAAAGTAGATCCAGGAATTTCATTGAGATGCTTCCAGCCCGTCACCATTGAGAATCCAATGAGCACAAAAATACATTTAATGAATGGAATTTTAATATTTCAAACGCCTTGTGTTGTATACTGTTGGATCTGTTGACATTTTTATAGTATGCTTCTTGTTTTATTATCTTATATATAAAATTCTCGTGTCACAATGTTAGTTACCATACACCTCCCAAATGGGTTGACCGATTTTTATGAAATTTTATATGCATATTCTGTGGGTTTGAGAATCGGCTACTATCTGTTTTTCATACCCCTAAGTGTTAACGGTTGTCCACCTCTACTATATATTAATTATTTCATTTTTTCAAGTACCCTAAGGGTTCATCATCATCATCATCACGGAAGACCACTGCTGGACATAGGCCTCCCTCAAAGATCTCCACGACGATCGGTCCTATCCAATGCCTTCCAGCGATCTTGACCAGATCGTCGGTCTACCTTGCTGGAAGCCTTCCCATTGTGCCCTGCCCATTGCCACTTCAGTGTCGCAAGAGGTTGTCCACACCTAAATAGTCTTTTTTCAACAAATGTTATTTTATTATGATTTAGCATTACAAAATACATTCTTAAATTTTCCCCTCCTAGCATCAACTCGTAATTTTTAATATCGATTTTAATTTATATGGCAAAACAGCGTTTGTGGGGTCAGATAATGATAGAGATATTGAGTGGATTACATATATAGTAGTAAATATAATTTACTTCGTTCCGATTGCAGTTGCACGTTACATACAAACTGTTACTTATCAACAATACTTATTGTAAATGTGATGGATTATACTTTTTCTACTTCAATCAATGTGTCTAATAGATAATTATTATATATTATTATCTTTCATCTTCAAAAATAAAGAAATAGAAATAATCTTTATTCAAATAAACTCATTACAAGCACTTTTGAATAGTCATATTTTGATTCTACCACCCATTCGGAATGCAGATTCATCACAAGAAGAATGAGCAAGAAACTTGTGTGTTGCTCTTTTTAATAGATGTTTTTTTTATATAAATAATTACAGTATAACAAGTAAGAGGCATGCGATAATCAACATAGAAATCGCTGCGCACTCATTATTAGTGTAATCAGACAATATTGTCAATTTGGATTTAAAGTTTTTCTATAAAAACATTATTATCGTTAACGAATTCTTCAATTTTATAGTAAGCTTTTTTGCAAAGGAACTGTTTTATTTGACATTTAAATCTTTTTTCTGGCAGATTTATAACAGACTCTGGTATTTTATTGTAAAACCTTACGCAATTTCCATAAAACGAATTACTAACTTTAGCCAAACGACATTTAGGTAAAATCAGTTTGTTATTGTTACGTAAGCTTTTATTAGTGTAATCACTAACTCTTTTGAACCGTCTATATTCTTTCTGGCATAGATGATATTTTCAAAAGTCAAATTCTATTGGGATTCGGCTACATTAGTTGCATACTAATATAGGTATAATATAATCTAGAAATGCATTAACCAATGAACTAAGAAATATAACATTATCGTTCGTTGTTGCTGTATTTCTAATTTGCCTTTAGGCAGGCAAAGGTGCCGGAGGTAGAGGTATGGAAAACTGGCTGTATGGTATGGAAATACTCACACCCAATGAAGCCAGTTCTCCATAGATTTCCACATTTCCAACTATGACAACTACGACAACTATGACTTTGGCAAACTTCTAATAGAATAGAATACAAAATCATTTATTCAAATAAACTTAATTTAAACACTTTTGAATAGTCATAACATTTTATTTAATCTACTGCTCATTCGGAAAGCTGTCTCATAACGAGAAGAACGAGCAAGAAACTCGTGTGTTGCTCTTTTAAATAATCCTTGTAAGTTCACATTTTATAAGTCGAAATGTGAAATGAGTAGAATAATGAAGAATTAAACTGAAGAATAAGATTGAAGAATGAATGAATGAAGAATGAGAATGAAGAATGAGAATGAGATTGAAGAATAAGAATGATGAGTGATATTGAAGAATGACTATGCGGAATGAGAATGAAGAATGAATGAATGAAGAATGATGAATGTGAATAAAGAATGGGAATGATGATTGAGATTGAAGAATAAGAAT